AACGGTAAATCGTCATGCACATAAAAGACGTCATGCATATTAAATCGGCCGTCTTCGATCATCAATGTTGAATTTTGAAAAATCGACGTCATCAAATTAGCATAGATGATGCATTTTCAAAGATAAAATTTACATGAAATTACATTAGACGTTATTTATATTTAAAACCATGTGCAACTTTTAACCACAAAATTCTATTAATAAAACGAAAATTACTAATTAAAATTTCTCAAAAATGCCTGTCAGAAACTCGTTGCGACACAAAAAATCAATAACTAATTCCACTAATGCGGAATTGTTGACAAATACATTTTAGGAGAAGTCACCAAATTTGGTGGTTCTACCATAAGCAGTTCTGACGCTATCCTTGAAAGTTGTTGCGGGCACTTTTAGCCCGCTCCCACCTATCCACCTCACACACACTTCCGTCTAGATGGGGTCAAGCAACAAAACACAAATCTGAGATGTTTTGGCATCTACAGCAGTATGTAATTTATGATAAAACTTACTTAAATATTCTAGTTGTTATTATATAGAATTTTATGTGAAATTAGATATATGCCTAATGGGTTGCATCACCAACCTTCCCTTCTTGGAGTCGGGCCCTTCCAAATTGGGGTGGAACGGAGATGGAAAAGGAAAGGCGATCCCCGTCTAGATCGAAATATCTGATCCAGATGACCTTCTCCTCATCTTCCCGTGCCTGCACGCGGCTGTGAGAGACGATGACAGGCCGGGAGTTCAGGAAGTTCTTCTCTACAGCGACGAGAGTGAAATGTGCTGGTCCCTGGAAGTGTTCCGATCCTTGGAAGTGTGGTGGGCCCTGGGAGACTTGTTCAATGTCTTCTACACTTCTTTTCACGCGGGCCTGCCCGGAAGTCATTTCGTTGTTGTAGCCATTCACCCCGCACACCTAATACAAAATATATATGTGATTGTTGTGTCGAACTAGACTGACAATAGAAACATACAGTGGGATCCACACGTTGTCATTATCACACATTATTCCAAAATCATTACATAAATGAACGTTTAGCTGTTTCATACTGTCATTTTTGGCGACGTCTCAGGGAGGAGCCTAATGATACAGTGTTGTGTGCAGTTTACAAGAATTCTAGGAATGGTACAGGTATTTTGTCCACAGAAATTGAATGTCCACAGGCATGTCTCTGACCCACATGTACATGTATGCCCACATCCTGGAAACCCTTGGGAAGACCTGCCTGCCCCTAGATGGCCTTATTTTCTGTGACCCCGGGGCTCGTTCACTATACACTCAGGGGAGGAGTGCACTGTATATGTCTAGACTTGACAGGTACCAAGTCATCCTCAAAATCATGAAATGATGGAAGTGCGACGCAAACAATAACCCTAACAGCAACCACCGTCGCCATGGCAATGTATGTTTTCATTGACTGTCTTGTAAATTTTTATTTGATCCTGCAGGTCAAGGGGGAGATCACAAAAGGGAAATTCCATGGACGAAAGAAGAAGCAAGGGCTTCAAAGCACTTCTACTAAATATATCATAGCCTGATTACCAAACCTTTTTTTAGCTGTCGAAAGCACAAAAGGGCTAGTAGGCAGTTAAAATAGGTTTGGTTAAACCAGGTTAATTAAATACAAACGTAACACTCCTGCATATTTCTTTAAAACAAAATTATGCACTGACCTGGAAAGTTTGGTAATGGTCTGACCAATCAACGATGGTTTGTATATTCTCCTCTGTGCCACATCCCCTCTGTGCATCCTGCCATTCTTGTTTTTCTATGTTTGTTAGGAAAACATATATTTTTTGTTAACTTTAGGTACCGTTTGTATCAGAATCTATGTCCACTGACAACGCTATCAGCTACTAAGCACTTTCTAACCACAACACAGAAAATCCTTCTCTGTCCGGCAGTTTGGTATTTTATATTTTAGATAAGTTTTTTGTAACTATCTATTTGTATTCATGTTACAAATTCCAACAATAAGCCGGAAGCAAATAAATACAAACATTTGAAAAAAAAAAAGAATTACCCAAGTTCCAGTAGAGCAGTCGCGGTTCCCATTCCTGGTCTATCAGTGTTGTGTTAATTAATGACACAGTGATGTTGATGGGACCTGGAATCCTCTCATTCCCCAGTGTGGTGAGGACAAAATTCACGCCAAACCAATGTTTCACTCTGATAGTAAAAACAAGTTGCAATGACCAAATTATAGTGTCAGTCCATCCGTGTCAAATTTACAAAACAATAATCTAAGTCTACAAGGATTTTTCACTTTCAATATATTGTATTAAGTAAGATGAAAACTGCAAACGCTGTTTATGATAGTACGTCACTGCACCCCCTCCCGCTCCCAAATACTTGTTTTAACAGAGTAGCACATAAAGAATGAATAGCCTTCCCATCACTCCATTTATAATACAGACTAGAAACATTTACCTGTTCCAAAGCCAGCGTTCGGTAAAGCTTTTGGTAAAAGCCGGATCAGCAATAAAGGACTTGAAGTTGACAGACGCGTCGGACGTATATTCAGAGGAAACATCCTCATCTGTCAATACTCCTGCCACCAAGGTAGTTCCGTTTCTCAGTCCTGGAACGCAAAATCATCAGCTGAAATATACGCATGACACACGATAGAATATAGTTTGTGTAGAGAAGGAGGTAATTGTGTTACATCTATATCTTTTACATCGTCCAGTTTACAACAAAGAAAAGCTAATAAAAAACAACACTGAAAACGACATTCAAGTAGAAAATTACCCTAGGAATACGTAACATCAGATTGATTAGGTATTGTAGTGTTGTAATGTTTGTTTTTCAGTTTGGCTGTAGTTACCGCCACTATTTATTAAGACAATATATTGTATTTGTAGACCGTGAAGAACCAACGTAATTTACCAGTAAGTTCAAGTTTTTATTAAAAACAAAGGCCAATGTTGGTATGGTTCAGACACATCTTTCTTTTGTTGTTATTTATCACGGAAAAAGGAAAACCAACCTTGTGTTGTCCTGATAGTGATGGTCTCAGAAGTTGGTGTGTTCAGGACAATCTCTGCCCTCTCACCATGATGGGAGGTACCAAGTCGATCGCGTGGCCCTGGTATGTAAAGATATTAATTCTAAAGTAATTTTTAAGTTACTTAAACTTTCCTCAACGTGCATCAACAGCGTACAAACCAATATGTCAGCGTAGAGACTCCGATCTGGTAGGTAGAGATCCTGATCGGAGTCTTTGCTGACAGAGACTCTTCTTAGATTGCTGTTTATTTGTTAGGGTAGTTTCCCATCATTTACAAATTCTGAATTCCATGTTAAACCATTGATCTAAAGTGTCTGAATCAAAGTTGAAAATTTCTGTCATTAAAGCGAATATCTTAAAATGTACAAGCTATAATCGGGATCTCTACAGGTAAAATCGCCGATTCTAACAGATCGGAGTCTCTACTATGACATATAAATTGCATTTAGTTTTACATGATGTGGACTAGGCCAACGAACGCACGAGTAGCCACCTTATTTGAATCATACACATAAGAAAAAGATCAAAATCTGTCTACTTTTAATTCAAAAGTAATTGTATCAACATTAAAGGCTTATCACAGCTAGATGCAAAAACTCACGGATGTAGACAATATTCTTCACATTGACGTCTGTACACTGGTGGGCACCGTTACAGGCACGAAGTGTGGGGTACAGCTTTCTAAACAGTACATGGGAAACAGTGTAGATATGATGTATAAGTTAAGCCAAGTTAAAGAAGGTACTACATATTTCAAGAAGCTGTGTGCTCAAAAGCATACACTCTTACTCAAAGTCATCAAATACATTCATATGTATAGTAATGCTTAGGTCACATTTGAAACGGCGCCCGTTCGGCATGTCCTCGGCGTAGACGCCGGCCGGCGTCATGACGCCGAGCATGCGCCGTACTGTCAGGGTCACAATTAAATGTTCCTTGACGGCTCCCTGTCGGGGCCTGCTTGTGCTCCGGCCGGCGGCTCTCATTAATATTCATAAACTTTTGCGGCCGGTTTCTGTCAGGGACCCGTCCGGTGCCCGGTCAGTCGCCCGTCTTGACCCGTGCGGCGTGTGGTAGGGTGCCGACCGGCTCTTACAGTTCGGCCGGGCAGCTGTCAGGTCCCTGGTGGGTTCCTGGCGGGATCCCGACGGGCTCCTCTCGTGTTTTTGTGCGGGTACATATATAAGCGCTGCACTGCCTGCTACCGTTCACTTCAAGTAAAGAGTACACGTCAAGTAAAGAGTAGACTGAAGTTGGCGATGCAGCGTTCAGTGCAACCTGCAAACAACTTACAAGCCCGTCTGAGATTGAGATTGGTGACAACCTACATGTAGGTCTTCTGGCATTGGTAGCTGAAGAAGAGAGGCAGGCAGAACTGGTGCGTCGCAAAAGTAACCGAGGGCCTACTTTCGAAAGTACTTCAACAGTGATGCAGGAAGTACTTCAGCAGTGACGCAGGAAGTGTGCCGTGGCAGCTCCTTGCTATTGAGCAATAAAACCACTGAATATCGTTACTTCTGTTGAAATTTGGACTGAAAATAAATGCCAATAACTTCTGATTCCATTTTATTACGAAGGCATATGATGTAACAAGAGATAATGTCAGACACATTCTATTCCTGTTATGATCTGTTTTATGCAGTTGGCAAGAGAGCCGTGCCGGCTGTTTCCCTTGCCCTTCGACATTCTGACACACAAATACAAGGTGTAACACACACAAGTACACGATGTAACACACACGTGGTGAACTGTGCGACGTAGTCTGAGGCAGGAGTTTATATATGCTCCATATAACCCCCTTTTCCTGACCATCTCATGCACTGATCAGCACATGTGACGTCATAATCTTAGGCAGGTGCCTGTTCGGCCGCCCGACGGGTCCCGGGCAGTGAGGTTACGGCGTCGCTTCGGCGTATTTCGCCGAACGGGGCCCGAAGTGTTTTTAACTCTGAGTTAAAATCGATTCGGCGACCGCGCGGGGCCAAAAATAGGCCGGCAGCCGTCGGGAAGCCCGCCGGTCTCCGTCCAGGTCCCGTTCGGTAGTGCCAAAAAACACGCCGACCACGCGCCGAACGGGCCCCTTTCTTGAATTGTGACCTAAGCATAAGCAGGCTCTGTTCTGCTACATAATGTAACCCATTTGTTTGGAGAAAAAGAAAAGGAAGAAGTAAAAAATAAACAAAAAGAGCGAAGGCAAACATTAACGGTAGTATTTGCACGTACATTGTACGAGTAAGTATTCAATAAGATTACTATTAGACTGTCGTCAAATATCATTTTATAAATATGTATGAGTGATATCATATCTCCTCTAAATAGATAAACATCCATGTAAAATTGTAGGGCTGAAAATGTATCACGTACCTCCCAGGCTCCATGTGGAATTCACTGGACGCCATTTCCTCCTGACTATTCCGTTGTAAGTCAGATATGTTAGAAACCCTCCCATGTGTCTGAATGGTTCCGTTCACGATGATGACGGAGCCAGCGGCCCCGCCCCCGACACGGGTGGGCGGAATGACGTCACCCAGCCTATTTGCGTCACTGCTCAAACTGAAGACTAAAATGAAGTCAACATCAGCATGAAAGTTTATTTGAGATGGTGAACTAAATGAAATGAAGAAATAAGCTACCCGGGGCGGTACCGCCTTCCGACGAACTTTAACCCATTGCTGATGCGACGCATTCGATAAAATCCCCTGTCTACAGAACTTGGTTCAAATACGTGATGAAGACCGAAGGATTCCGTCAAAAATTCCGTCAAATTCTTTTTTAATTAGAAAACAATTTTCATTATGAAATAAACGAGGAACACATAAAAGGACAAATGACTTTGGAAAAAATGCTCCAAACAATCCTAATACTTTTATAATTCCAATACACAAGATATGTATTGTATCCTTCTCGCAAAATGTATAATATGATCTTAAGTATACTTTATTTACATTGTTTTTAAGTAAAAAAAAATGAAAAAAGCTATAACGTTCTGAGACCAGTACAAAAGTAAAGACAGCCAAAGTAAAAGGTTTTGCTTCTAAGTCACCTAGCCGGCGTGTAAATAATTGTGCATGTCACACATTCATTTCGCAATGTAAACAGAAAAAAAAATCACAATTCTTTCAGCTCGTATTTACTCACATGTCGCTGTGATCCCCTCCTCTTCCCGCGGGCTCTCCCAGGAGAACCCTGCACAGGTGAGGTCAGTGACCCTGACCGTGTCATCACTGTACACATCATCTGGGAACTCTTCACCGACCAGAACTGTTGTGTTGGTGTGGGAAACGTCTGGGGATCCATAGAGGACTTTTACGCCTAAAAAATTTGTAAGCAGAAATACGAGTGATCCCTGTTATTGCTTACATCATATGTACATTGGTGTAAACGAACACGATGCCAGAACTGAACTGAACATCCCACCACTACTCCACAGACGTCAGGTTTGCTGTCTCGCTCATCTACAAAGTGCACATGTCCACACGCCCACCAGACCTGAAAAAGATGCTTCCCCAACCTTACACAATCAGACGCACAACCCGCAGCAGTCTCTCCAGTGGAAAACACACCCTCACTGTGCCGGTCTCTAGAACTCACGCCGCCGGCAGAACCTTTATACATACTGCAGTTGACATCTGGAACAGCGTCCCAGACAACGTGGCTGGCCGGATCACTGCCAACAACCTCCAGTCATTCAAAACAAGAGCACACCTGCATCTTCTTTCCACCACCAGGACTTCTGCATGTAGCTAGAACTTTGCAACTTCGCTGTAAACCAATGATTAGCCAGAAGTGTTACAATCCAGGCTATTGTTTACATTAGCACATGATAGGAGAAAACAACAACATACAAATCACTTGAAGACCAACCAATCAGGGAACCGTCACCCGTTTTTGCCTACCACTCACTGGCCGGGTCATGGCGATCGCCTGCATACGTACATACTATGACACTATGAAGCTTTTTGGTAGAGGATTAAACTAAGGTTTTATGAATGCAGTGATTGATAACGAGAAGCCGACCATTCTCTTAGACTATGAGAACTATTTGTTCTGCCTTTAAACCCATCAAAACTTGGATAAGACCATGTGTCACCTGGTGACGTCACCGTAGATTGTAACCCTGCCCCATTTACAGCCCTCAGGGTGACGTAATATGTTGATCCGTGACGTAGTAAACCTTCAAGGTCAGAGTTCACTGCAATGTCCTTCAGTCCGTTGGATATAAAAGCCTGGACGTCGGTTTTCCGTGGAGCCGTTCCTATTGCCCAAAAATACTCCACCACCTGCATCAAACTAAACCTTTAGTGCCTTGAATGGTTTCTACAATTTGCATAAATTATGTGTTATTTTTCATAATACTATTACGGTTGCATTGCTGACTCAGGTTGAAAAGGGGGAGGGGTTTTAGTATACGGAACATGACATGTTACATTCAAGAAGATTAAGTGGACAACGTACATTCAGTACAAATAGGATCCGATATATGTCAAACCAAAACTATTGACCATGTATAACTCAATATACATTGGGTAATATTGTCTTAGCCGTTAAAATTAACACTCAATAGGGGTCAAAAGTTGAAGTCGAGGTTAGTTTAAAGCTTTACAGATTGAAGAGCATTATAATTTTGCCATAATATTTTGGGGATTTTCCAACCTGACTTTCTTCGTCGAAGGCAGTGTATCTAACGGCGATGGTACTGTTGCTTCCCTGGAACTGGCTAATTTCCTCATCATCCCAGGACATGTCCACGTGGTATATGTCCTGGATATCTGGAGGTGTCACATCTATGCTCACGCCATTGGAGGACGACAAAGCAACACGACCCGATCCTTTTAAAAGAAAAAAATCCACAAATAACGTTAATTTCTATCTAAAAAAAAAAGTAAAGAGACAAATCATCAAATTCACCCATTTAATCTGTTGGCTCTTCGTTTTTGTAGAAATTATATTAACAGCGACAGGGCGAAAGAACAGTCCTAAGCAGCCTATGACAGGCTAAATGCTACCGTAGTAGTATACGATAGGTACTACGATAGGAAGTCAACACGCAAATGTGGTTTGCAATTCTAATGCATTTTGAACTTTTAATTAACCCTATCTAGACTGGGGGGGGGGGGCTAGAAGTGCCAGCGCAAACTTTGATGTTGAATAGCGTCCGAACGGCTCGCACTAGAGCCACCAAACGTAGTGACTTTTCCTAAAATGTTGTTGGCGAATTAGATGAATTAATAAGTTTTTATGTTGGCATGGCAACGGGTTTCTGACAGGCATTTTTTTTAAATATCAGTAATTTTGGCTCAATGACGTTTTTAGGCGTTCATGTTAATTTTAACATGCTTTTTAATATCACTAACATCTTATATAATTCTATTTAATTTCTACCAATAATTATGTAGAATGTATGCTCATTTGATGACGACATTGGTCAAAAACCAAGATGGTGTACAATATTATTAGATCAGGTAAATTCCGCGACTACTTTCCATAAATTTCGTCCCTACCTCGATTTTCTTTTACATAAGATGTCAATTTCGAACTCTTAAGTCTATTTCCATTGTATTTTTAGGCTTTATTTTGAAAAAAAGTCTTTTCGAAAATTGAATATTGACGATCCAATATGACAGATAATTAAAATAAGCATGACGTCATTTGATGACATCACTGGTGTTGCTATGGGCAACATACAATTAAGTAAACCTTGATATGTTTTACACTTTTTGTTAAACTTTTTTGTACACCATTAAGTTTTACAAGAAATTGCAGTTTAAGGCATATAATCCATGAATGGCGTCATAATAACGTCATATTACGTCATAATGATATCAAAATTGTGTTATAATAATCAATTTGTAGATCTTCTTTAACTACTGGGACCTAAATAAGAGAATTTCGAACTTAAACCTAAATTACTTTAATTGTTATATTTTCCAGATCAGAAAAAAAATTAGCGTCCGAATTCGAGAACAAATTGATTTGATTGTTGTGGCCACAGTATAGAAAAAGTACCGTGATAACACATTTTAGCTATCAGATTATAACCTACGTGTACAATGAATACAGATAATCTTCTTCTTATATACATGTATAGATGTATAAGGCAAATATGATGCCTTGCCTGATACAGCCTTGACTGTTATGTAGTAGACTGCAGGAACGTCTGTAAGGTTCATCCCGTCCAGCTGCTTGAAGCTGACATTAGGACTGAGAGTCAGGTCGTCTATCCTGACGTTGAAGGCTGGTGTGTTCATGGTGGAACAGTCCGGGTCACAGTTAAATTTGTCACATGGGTTAACACAGGGCACGCACGTGGGACGGGCGACCTGGTGATGATAAATGTTTCGTAAGAAAAGAATATCTAAATTTCAGGTGAAATGACTTGTTGAACAAAATCCACAGTCATATAGTAGCTACGAAACTACTCTTGTAACGATTGAAGTAGGGAGTAGGGGGTGGGTAAGTGGGGGAAACACCTCAAAGTTAAGATCACTATGTGTAGTTAATCACAAGGACAGGGAGGTGCGACACCTGAAAAGCAGACTGGGCAAATATGCAATATGTACTTCGTATGTCATATAATGTGCAAGGAATACTGTTGCATGGTTGGGAAAAACCCATGGAACTGTTCTCATGCTGTAAGTAGCTTGCTAAACGAGGAAGTGCAATAGTCAACTTGTGCAATATATTAATGTATACTTATTATATTGAGTAAACCTAATGAATCACCATTTTTAAACTGCAGTTTCGGAGTCCAGTTAGTCCGACGCACGCATACTTTACCCTGCGTCCCGTGAGTTCATATTATTAACTCATATTAAGGGATTGACCTGGGTGTTTTTAACTGTTCGCCTTGTTGTTTGTCAAAAGTTAATAAAGATGATTTTAACTCTCTCTTTGGCACTAAGATTATTTTTTTAACTTTGCACTGATATAAAAAGAAGCGAAACTAATTTTGCAACACTCAAAATTGCATAAAATCAAATAAAAACCTAGATTTAACTGACTTCGCGAAAAGGTGCAACATCATCCTTCATCTTTTCTGTCCCCACTCCTGCGTAGAAGACCGACACACTGTTGTCTCCCGGACGGAATGGGTCTCCGTAACGACACGGGTTGTCTGTGCTTGGTGGGAACCTAGGAGAACATCAAAACGGTTTTATTAGCAAGGGTTATCATTTTTGACTCCCGCTTTTTTACGTATATGTTCCACACTACCAAAATGATTTTTCTTGTTTTTCTTGTTTTTCTTAATTCGTGGACAAATTTTCCTACATGAAGAAATTTCAAGAAAAATTAAGAATAAATAAGAAAAGAGCAACAGATCGTTCTAAAATTTTTCTCTTGTAAATTTTCACTACAAGAAACATTTTCTTATTTTTCTTACGTGAAGAAATAATTTCTAGCAGTGATTTTCTCCCCCAAGAATGTTTTAGAAAATTGAGTTAAATGGTCTTGTTTTTCTTGTCTGAAGAATTACTTTCTTGCCATGGTTAAGAAAATACAAGAATTTTTCCCTTAAGTTTCTTGTATTTCTCATAGTAAGAAAAACAAGAAAAGCAGGGTTTAAAAAACAAGTCATAACTAGAATAACATTTTTGAATTTTCTTGTTTTTCATATCAAGAAACTTTGAGAAAGGAAGTTCTTGCTTTTCTTGGGCTGTGTCAGAAAAAACAAGAATTTTGTTCTTGACTTTCTTGACATATGTTGCTTAGAAGAAAGTGTTTATTGACAGTAAGAATTTTGGTCTTGAACTGAGAACCAAAGTCTCAAAGATTATAGTGGTATATTAATTAAGAATTTCTGTCTTGAGGAAAAAGATATGCATTCTTGTTGTAAGAACATGAAACTTAAATAGAAGAAAGGCTTTCTTGACAACAATAATATAATAATTGATAAGTTAAATATCACTCTTAAAGTTAGAAAAGGAATCTTTGTGTAAGAATCTATTTTGGGGGTATTAAGAATTTGTTCTTGTTTTTTGTAATTAAGAAAGTTGAGCAATCTGATTCTAGATTCTTTTAGTAATGTCAGAGACAAGAATTAGTTTCTTTACTTTCTTGACTTTCAATAATTCTATACTTGTAACTAGCAGAGTTTTACTTATCTAGATAGTTCAAGAAAATGATTCTTGTTTTTCTTGGTCAGGTTATGTTCAAGAACATACAAGAATCTGTATCTTTCTTTTTAGACAAAAATTTGTTGAATTAGAAATCAAATTTAAAACCTGAAAGCAAAAAATACTTTAAGTTCTTTAACGTTTTTGTTTTCCTTATCGAGAAAGTTCAAGAAAGATGAGTTTTTTCCATGGTAATGTTCAAGATAATGTAAGAATTTTTTTCTTAACATTCTAGCCATAACTGTCATGTGATCTCTTGTGAGCTCCTGATTGGTTAATTCAAATCCCAGAATGCAGTTAGGGATTTTTGAACAGAAGCTGGGGTGAAGTCAGATGTGGGGGCAGTGCTCTGTGCTGGTTACTTCTTTTTAGTCAGATATTGATTCATATCGTCGGATTTGAAGTCAAAATCAAGGTAAAAAGGACCTTGTGTACATGTGAACCAATGGTGATCGTGTCGGCTTGCAGAAGAAACCAACTTTGCAACGAAAAAAGGATGGAACCAAACTTATATAAGGTAAGTGCGCCCCCCTCCCCACCAAGAAGAAAAAATCTGTTGACATTGTTTTTAGACTTCATAGCTTATTTGCTACAATTCCATTGGGAATGATTTCTAAATTGTATCTCTGGTATATTGTACATTACAGTGTTCTACTGCATTATAATTATATTATTTTCAATTGTTGAGTAAACTTGAAGTAATTCAATCCTATTTTTAGCATCCTCTTTTGACTTTGTTGTCTTCAGCCCCTGCATGCAATGCAAACTAAGAAGGTCTTTCCTGTTTTTTTCAGGTTTCCAAAGACTGTGACTGTGCCAATGCTATAATGCCAAAGCTGCAGGGTTTGCTGAATGTTTTGGAATGTGATATGATCTGTATTCTTTAACCATGATAATGGCTTGTTGGTTACATCGTATGATAGTTTTAAGTTTACTGTAAAACTTGTTTCCATTCAAAGAATGTCAGATACATGTACATAATGAATGTGGTAATGAATATTCCTATACTGTCAGTGTCAAGAGAGGCCTGTCAAATAATTGTTATAGGATTTTAATTGTTGCAATATCATTCTCTGTAACTTTTGTACATTATTTCTTCTTTTGTGGTACAAAATAGTTTTATTGATACAAGAATATTGAGCTCTAAAGTTCAAGAAATATTTTCTTATGTGCAGAATGTTTTTCTCATTATAAGAACTGTTAGCTAGCTCTTAGCTCAAGAAATGTTTTCTTGTATACAGAATGAGGTTCTTGCTAGAAGAATAATTAGCTCTTAGTTCAAGAAATTTTTTCTCATGTGCAGAATGGTTTTCTTACTATAAGATCAGCTCTTCAAGAAATGTTTTCTTGTATACAGAATGATTTTCTTGCTACAAGAATAATTAGCTCTTAGTTCAAGAAATCTTTTCTTATGTGCAGAATGGTTTTCTTACTATAAGAACTGTTAGCTTAAGGCTCTTACTTCAAGAAATGTTTTCTTGTATACAGAATGATTTCTTGCTACAAGAATAATTAGCTTTTTGTTCAAGAAATCTTTTTTCATGTGCAGAATGGTTTTCTTACTATAAGAACTGTTAGCTCTTAGTTCAAGAAATGTTTTCTTGTATACAGAATGATTTTCTTGCTACAAGAATAATTAGCTCTTAGTTCAAGAAATATTTTCTCATGTGCAGAATGGTTTTCTTACTATAAGAACAGTTAGCTCTTAGTTCAAGAAATATTTTCTTGTGGGCAGAATGGTTTTCTTGCTATAAGAACAAATAGCTCTTAGTTCAAGAAATATTTTCTTGTGTAACAGTTAGCTCTTCGTTCAAGAAATATTTTCCTGCGAACAAGATAGAGATTCTTCATGTAAGAACCCGTAATTCTTATCATGAGAAGAATATTCTTAAGTATGGGTTTATTAGCTGTAAGAAATAAATTTCTGAGAATAAGAACAATGTGGCGTTTCTTGAATTTTCTGGAAACGGGGATTCTTGTTTAAAGAATAAGGTTCTTGCTGACAGTAAAAAGTTCTTTGCACAAGAAAAAAATTCTTCTTTTAGTGCAATGCAAGAACATAAATCTTAATCTATTTCTAGGTATCACAAGAATTTTGGTCTTGACAGAAGAAATATATTCTGGGTGTGAGATGAAGTAAGAAGCTATTTCTAGCAGATAAGAATGTAGTGTTCTTGGGATAAGAACGAAAATCTTGAAAGAATAAAATAACTTCCAGATTTATAGAATTTTAGGCATGTATTGAGAACTGCAGTCTTTGTATAAGAACAATTGTCTGCATCACGAATCTTACTGTAAGAATAAGATTCTAGAAGTAACCAACAATAATTTATATAGAAACCTATAAGAAAAATATTCTTACTGCAAGAAAAAGTCTATCAAGAAAAAATTACTTAATTCGTGGACAAAATTTCGTTCTTGAATACAGAAAAATTTGCTTCAGGAAAGAAATATTTTCTGACTGTAAGAAAAAACAAGAATGCTAGAAATGTCATTTTTGGTAGTGCATGCGTATACTATCGGAATAACTATAATTTTAATGTTGAAGATGTATTGTAATGTAGAATGAATGAAAATGTAAAGTAAAATGAAGATGTAATGGATAAAGAAACTACAGAATTGGATTCCCTGCATTCCCATAGTTGTCTACAACGGCGAATATAGATATATATGAGATATTTGTATTGCTAATATGTTCTCTATTTCGTTCAATGTAGACCTTTAGGAATCTTTTAGTGAGACAAATACAGATCGTCTAACCGCACGTGTCTGAAGAATGCAGTAGCTTTCGGAGTGTCAAAGACGTCTTGAAATTCAGGTACAAAATCCTCACGGTTCCAGACGGACAGGGTTAGCTGGGCGTGTTCGCTGAACACCGGGATGCCGTTCATGATGGCGAGCGACGTGCCATCAATGATGAGCTCCATGCTCCAATCCTCCTGCATAGTGTAAACATAAATGCTTTTTAAAACATTGGCCAGAGGCCAAGACGGGATTGCCGAAAAGCTGCTTGGGTGGCGTGCGATGACGATGTGTTATTCAAATAATTGGTCATCTTGGTGACTTAAATTGGACCAAAGATAAACAGACTGGACTAGATGCAGATGTGCATATGTTATGTATCCTGGGATCTCTCTAAAACCCCCATTCCACTAAGACGGCGATCTCATAGCACTCTCTCCGCGCTCCTACAATTTCAGGTCGCAAAGAGAGCGCAGGGAGAGCACCTTCATAGCCTTGCACACTTGATCTCATAGGTTGAATATGATGCACAATGCTCAAGAATGACTATGAAAGCAATAAAACAAACAATACGTAGAAATTTTCGTTCTCTATTTCCATGAATTCGTTGTTCGTCCAAAAACGTTGCCGACATTTGTCTTTTTTGTCGCGCAGAGAGGTCGCCGTAGACATTCCACTTGAGCACGTTTTTCGTGAAGTTCTGCGCTCCTACGGTGATCTGGACAATTTCAGAGCACCGTGAGAGCGCCGTAAGAGTGCCACTAGGAGGCCTAACGGAGAATGTATATTTCTATAGCTTCTTAGCGATTGTGTACGGTAAAGAGTTTCGTGATTCCTTGTTTCATTTGGACAGTCTTTTCCTCCTGACGTTTTATATCATGTTTTTGACACCTACCATTAAACTTGATACTTAGAAGATGGCACAAAAAGTGTAATATATGTACTATGTAAGGTACAGGTGGTTTAAAGGAATTGCCAGCATAAAAACGCTTTGGAGAAAAGGTTTAGAAAAACTTTCATTGTACTTGCCCCAACAGCAAAGGTCCTCTCTATAGTGATCTTTAACTCATAGGTGTGCCAGCCGTTTGTCGGGTCGAAGTCTAGAGTGATCATCTCGTGAAGTGGTTCAACCATGTCGTTGGCAAATCGGCACCACAGCAGGGCATAATGTCCAACAACACCTCCAGCTGCAATACCTGTACAGCACATAAAGTAAGGGATAAGGAATGTCAAATCGTACCAAACTGTAAAATTGTAGATATCCATCCAGTAATTAGAGGTGAACGTTTTAAGAGTAACTTGAGTTTATTGAGTTAAAACTCTCCTTTAGCTGCCCACCCGAGGGTGACAGCTATTCTCCCAGGAGAGAGTTTTCACATAAAACATACAATTATACATCAATATACACAGTCAATAGCTGAAATTTATTGCGTAGTTTTCTAGTACCTCCTTGGTCTTTAAATGCAGTTGAGTATCTTTTTACTAACCTGGGTGAATTTGAAGTCCACAACCTCTAGATGCCACTTGTCTCTCAGCGTGATCACTAATAGGAGGTATGTTATCCTCAACAACTGACTCGTAGTCTAATGTAGTCATGGGCGGTGCAGACGTTGCAATGACTGTAGTGCCTCCAAGTTGATAGTGAGTACAGTTGCACAGACATTCATCACGTACACCTGAAGTTAAGGTAAAGCAAAAAGGTATAAATTATAACTAGTTTACCGTCATATCTTATATCATTAAACCATAGCCCTGCTTCACACAAGACAAACAAACTAAAACAAATCAGTGTTATCTTCTTATCAAGGATTACCTGTGGTTGAGTTGGACAGGGTTTCTGTGTTGTTTGTTGGGATCTCAGTGTAGTTTGCCAAGTTCCCAGTGTTGTTGCTAAAACAACATGTACAATCTGGAGGTTCTGTCGCTGCTTCCTCCCGAGCCCACTGCTCTACTGGAGCCTCCAGGTCTCCCACCACACCTGCCGGGCCGTCCCAGAACACAACACTGCTGACGGCTTTGATGTCCCCGCTGGCAGCGATCATGTCGAACGTGTAGGAGCCGCCTCCCTGCATGTCTGCCCGGGTGGAGTACGCACCTGAGTACATCCTCGTCTGTTGTACATCCCTCCACATGCTGATGGACAAACCGTCTTCTCCAAATGTTAACTATGGAAGATGACACAGAAATCAAGACACGATGCAAAAAAGGACGATCACTGCATGAAAAGAAGCATTTACAACAGTGATGTGGTATAGGTGGTAGGTAAATATATGTAACAGCAATAAATGTTTGTCTGGTGAGTCTGATAGTGGGGGCCTAAAACATTTAATTCCAAAAGCAAAACCATTTCCAAATTTACCTGGCTTTTCTTGCCATAAGTAAATTCAACATTCCGTGAACGGTATTAATCTTACATTGCAAAATGGGATAGCTGCTGACGCGATGCGATATATCTTTTTATACCTTAAAGTCCTATCATTCCAACATTAGATAATGCAACATGACCATAAAGAAATGATACCTCATCTTCAGTGAAAGATACCCTGTGGTCACGTTGCAGGCCATAGATAGAGTGTGAGGAGACAGGACTCCATCCAGCCTCCTCGCTGTGCATCAGGTACTGACGTGCAGGACACTTATCACCACCGGAGTTTGGCAGGTAGATAAACGTTCCTGGAGTTTGGAGATCGACATGCATTAATGAAAGATACGCTTAACTTTTAAAATTAAATGACTATTATACAGTTACTGTTTTATTATGTTGTTATTTTTGGCATATTTTGTCTTCATTTGACCATTAAAATCAGGTAATATACTTGTTAGTAGAAGAGATAAGTAAGGGTTTTAATCTTCTCTATTTTAACAGTTTCGATAAACCTTTCTTACCTTCCATGGTGGTTGTTGAACTTTGATGAGTGACATCTGAACTGAAGTCCCGCCCATCTTTCACCGTTCCACCAATCGGATCCTCCAAATCCAGCAGGATGGGCGGAGACTCTGTCATGATTGACAGACCGGCCTTGTTAAAGGCACGCAGCCTCACAAAGTACGGGATACCGGGCTGGTAAAACAATGATTGCAATCATACAGACCGCTGTACAGAGGTAACATGTTTAAAAAACTGGATAAGCTTGAAAATTATGACACTAGACTATCATAATAAAAACTCAATATTTATTCTATCATAAAAGTTCATTTGTGTTGCAATTGGTAGTAAAAATAGTAAAACGTTGTACTTTATTGCACCACACACACAATTTGCACAGGGATCAAATCTTCAGTGACCACTGTCGCCTTCATCAGGATAATTAATGACCAATCACTTCGCAAGATTGGTCTCCTCGCGACATCCCGTTGTCGCGATGGTTATTAATTATCCTAAGGAAGGCGACATTGGTCGCTGAAACTTTGTGTAAATTGCGTGTTGGAATAAAGTTCAACGTTTTACTAATATGTATTCTACTGTCGTTCAATGTAGTAACTGCACGACATAACAGAGCAAAATTATACTACATCAAACAAAACCTAAGCTAGATATGCTGAACCAAGCCTACCTCAAGTGAGATGTCTGTCACAGTGTATTCGGTGTCATTGAACAGTACTGATACAAAGTCCGTGACTTGGAGTCTTTCATTAGTATTTACTGAACAGACTGCACCAGAGAACACGGCGATCTCGAAATGATCAATGCCGCTCTCAGGGTCAGAGAAGTCGCCCAGGAGACATGCAGCTCGTCTGTCCTGCCTGTGTAGGAGACAGGCTACAAACATGGAATTAATAAAAGAATGCATGAATACATTGATTTAATAGATAAACTGTAAAATAGTTATAACTCTTAATGTTAAATTAGTGCACAGGATGAGATCATATGAGCTGCTTGACAACCTGACGAGAATGTGTCAACCCAATGAAGGTTGAGTTAGAGTAAAACGTGTCAGAGGATGAGTTTATATTTCATGGGTTTAAGCGAGCTATTGGAATTATTCAACTAATAATTTGACATATTGAATTAACCATCTTTATCAACAGACTTCAACAGACTCCAACTTTGTTGCACAAAATGGAAGAAAACACAAAAGTTACAATGGTTGATTGATGTTTTTTTGTGGAATCATTTTCAATACGCACCTCGTCTTTAAACGCGCCTACCCAAACACTTCCATCGACAGGTGGCGTGATGTCCACAGTTACAAGTGATGACGTAAGCGAACACACCGCAGACTGGTCCGTTACTATGACAACCACTGTGTATGTTTGATTGTGGGTCAGCTCGAGGCCTCCAACCTCCACTGCTGTATCCTTCCCTGCGTTGGTAAGTGGATGGACGTTGAACTTGTTCATGAGATCGGCGCATTCTTCAGTCTCTGTAATCTGGCAGGTTTGCTAGAGGGAACATGCATAAATTATAGATCAGCTTCATGCTCAAAACGTGATGAGACAGCAATACATCACCTTGTAAAACACCCACTGCAATGTCAGGACGGCAAGAAAATATTCAGTATGTTGAAATCTGTTTGAGTGAATTGAGATTAACATTTACTGCACATTATCGTCATCATTTCATACTTAAAGCGTTCGAAGTAGCCCCAAAACAAGTCTGTGAGGCGTCTCTTTATTTTTGGGAACCAGTGTATACGTACCACCCACAAATAGCTAGATCCAGCCTACAATACAAAACAAGCAACAGTTTTTTTTTTTTAATTTAGTGACATCGAATTTTTTTCTCACGGATATCAGTTTGCTATGGAATAGGATTGACGACCAGAAAATTGACTTCCGTCCTAAAGTTGCATACGTTTTCAAATCGCTCACAAAATTATGAAAGCATTATTAGAACGCGTTCAGTACTTTTAAACGTTAATGACAACTTCATGAATTATGGACTATAATATACCATATTTCATCTAAAGTGTATTTGATTTTACTACGATCAGTTGGTATACGTTTCCTTGGCTGACACCAAGACTTACCAGTTTGTTGCAGTCTAGCTGTGTTAAATTTGCACCCAACATCCCGATTCCCCACTCGCTGTACAATATTGGCAGGGCGAAAGCGAATCCCTCCCAGGAAAAGGACATTTCTTCGGTAGAAGGGATGAACCTATTGGCAAAATGGTAGGAGTCATAAGTGCTTTGCTGTGCTAATACGTATCATTACAATGTAATAGAAGTTCAGCCAAATTGCTACTTATAGTTCCTAAACTGTTTATTTGTGTGCTTATATGTATTACTAAGTATGTCTAACCTTTTGATGTCCACGTGTCCCACGGATAGGACCTGCCCACCATATCCCACCTGTATCCCGTTAGAAGTCACCTCCGCTACAGACGTGGACACGCTGTGAGCTCTGACGGTGATGTAGTACGTGGCTTCCCTTGGGATTAGCTTAAAACAAGATTTGTAAAATAAAAAGTACAATTAATTCTAAGAGTGTTTGTTTTGGTCTTCCATTGAAAATTCAATAATTCTATCATGAAGTGAACTTTTAGTATTACAGTTTACAGTTTTGTTTTCGAACAAATTAAGTTATTGGAAGTTATTGGAGATTGACGGTAGTATTTAGGCTTAAGGAACACGTACTTTGGTTTGGTTTGGTTTGAAAAAAAGATACACGTTTGAATGTTTTAGTGATTCTTGAGAAAAAAAACGTGATTTTCATATTGCGCAAATAGTTGGTATACGTCTAAAATTCCAATTCTTTGTAGCTTTTGAAACCTACTATCACTATTGTCGAGAGTGCGGTAAAAAGTCTAGATATGGATACCTGTAAGTATTCAAACGTGTGCGTCCGGTTCAGCCCCACATTGATAAAAGGACGCACGTTGTTCCTGGTTCTGGGGAAGCGCCGGTCTGTCCCAAGAGCTACTTCATAGTACTCGACTGTTTGCTCTTTATCTGCATCAATGTGCCCTTTTCATTGTTGAAGACACAATGGAATCAAGTTAGTATCGTTACAGAATGTTACACATACATGTATGTTGTTACCTTGCCAAGAAGGTTATGTTTTCAGGGGCGTTCGTGTATGTGTGTGTGTGTCATGTGAGAAGGCCTTGATGGATTGTCTTGATACTTGGTAGATGGGTAGGTCTTGATGAGACCTCAAAATGATTAGATTTTGGACCCCCTAGCGGCTTGTTATGGTACTGCAGCTGAACTTCCGGTTTTGATATCTCATGATCTAGACATGCTATGGTGATGAAATTTGGATGATAGGTAGCTCTTGTGCTGGGGAAGAAGTGACGTGAGTTTAGGCCCCCTAGCGGCTTGCTTTGGAACTGCAGGGATATATTCTTGAAAATATTCAAAAGGGGATAACTCAAGAATCAGTTGACGGATCGTCGTGATTTTTGTTATGTAGGTAGCTTACGTGATGCTTAATATAATTATGTTACAATTATGCAAATATGGATGTAATTTGCATAATTTATGGGAAATTCTATAAATCCTCTGCATTCCATGATAGGACAATTGAAGCTTGTGACATTGGTAATTGACAACGAGAGAAACACAGGAAGATATTGATTATGTTAATAATGACTTGTTATTATTAATTTGCATAATTAATTAGAAAGTTTTATAATTATGTAATGATAACTGCCTGGAATTTCATACTTGTGGTATTTGAAAGTTAAATTGAGGTGAACATCATTAAACATAATTTATTCAAATCAGGACCTCATTTGCATAATTTATTAGGTAATGCTAGAATGCATTGTTTGTTAATATAAGACTGTCTTTTGGTTGAGATTATGATAAAATGATATAATTCATGAAAATTAGGTTCCTATTTCTTAAATCAGGGGGGAATAATCTAATCTATAATTTGTCAGTCATAAAGATTAACATCATTTGGCGAAGGTATGAGATCGGGGAACTCTAGTTCTGGTTAAAATCATAGATTTCAGAGATTCCTCATAATTATTCAGAATTCGATCGCCTTACGTGTTATCTAGATGGAATTATATTCATACATGTGAGTAAAAAAGCTTGTAAAAAATGATGTTAGTTGACCTAGCTGCCTCCTGTCGCCAAAGCTGTCCCAGTTTGAAGACAATGTGGTGATGGATGGTTGGAGGTTGAGGTCATACCCGACAATGCCTCCATCACGAACCTGCAGTTACCCAACAAGTATGACACTTAATGTCACTACTGGATTTAATGTAAATTCTTGTAATATTTGCTTATTAGATATGAATATAGAGTATACAGTATATCTATAGCTCGTGCCAGATGTCAGTGCCATGTCAGTGTAATCCAGTTATCCCAACAGCCAATCGGCAAGAAGAACCAGCACATGCAAATTGGCCAGTCGGGTCATGCATATGAAACTGTTCTCTATACCAAATATGGTCAAACATACCTATGCGAAATAAGTTCAAAATAATGAGTTCACGTAAACTCACCTGCCCGGGGATGAGCGGTTCTAGTGTAACCGTGATGCCGTCTGACCTGACTGTGTAGGTAAAGTCCATTTCGTTTGTAGCTCTTACAGCAACGAAAAACGTTTCTCCGTCTTGCATATGCAGTTCGTTGTTGTTGCCAGATGTTTGTCCTTTGAATGAAGACATATGTTATTACAGGTATAACATAATAATATTCTTATGAGACTCGAACAAATTTCTTTTTTTTTAAACAGTTTTAGGATTCCAAACACAGAAGTAGAATTTTAAATTAAATATTACAACAATCAGTTACAATCATAACAGTTGTAACTTTTTAATCTAGTGGAAGAGATTTGTTTCATTTGCAAGTGTGTTTTTCAATATACTTTCATTAAAACAATATGGCTGTATCATTGGACGTTTCGTGGCGTACTGCGGTAGTAAAAATACCCTACCTTGAGGAACGACAGTAAAAGGCTGCATGACGGTACCATCCACCTTAAGAATGCTCCACTCGTACTGAGAGATGGGGCACGGGTCTCCGCTGAAGTCCCAGTGGGCTGAAAGCTCCTCATTGTGGTCTTGATAATCCCTGCATATAACATCACATTTGAAGGTACTAGAATTAAATTTCTAAACAACCAAGACTTACAATTTTTAGAACACTGTGAATCATGGAGAACAGTATTATATCATCTTATGGCTGCAATTGATAAATATGGTGAATTATTTATCTTCAACTACGTGCATGGGCCCAGGCATATACATTCAATAATCGGCATGAGGCGGTATACTTACAGATCCTTAGTGGAAAATTCTCCATCCCAAACCAGAATCTCTCCCAGAGGCGGCAGTCCGGAGCTCACACGGCTGATGTAGACACCGTTTGATATGGCGACAGTGGACATACCTTACAGAGTTGGTAAAAAAACAAAATCATTTTGGCCCTTGAATAAGCTCGACGTTTTGTCTTTCATTTCATTTCATTTCATTTACTTTATATCATTAACCAGAATAGTACGCTCAGATCTACTGTCCTGGTTTTCAGGTATCCCTGGGGTTGCATATATAAATTACACAATATGCATGGGAAAACACACAATAAGAATATACATTACAATTTCAACTCAACATACATAACAATAGTAAAAATATTTGCCACTCAAGTCCCACTCAGAGAGAGTCTTTTTAAAGTCACACTCACAGAGATTCTATTAGGGCTTTTGAAATGTGAGCTGATTCTATTTGGAAGTGGGAACAAAATGGAGATCGTTCAGCATCTTACCCGCAGCGTTAGTTCCACGGACTGTAGCAAAGACCTGTCGGATATCTGACAGATCCAGACCGGTTATGACCACAAAGTTGTCTCCCGTGTTGACTGCTGTAAAGTCTTGTAGTTGGCCCCCACCGGCACTTGTACCAAGCGCTACTTCGTACCTATTTCGTATAATTTAAAGCAGGACACAAATACATCAACTAACCAAATACACCTCACTATTTGAAAACAACACCATAAAACATAACGTTGATAACGCTAAAAAAAGTCTCAATATAAACTTGCTTCCGAGGATTCACTTCAACGAAGGAACATCAAATAATATGTTAATTCATCTACTTTCCCGGTGGTTTTATTTCTCGGTAGTAGGGGGCATCACAGTGACATGAATTCTAGGTACCCGCCAAAATGAAGCCACCGCAAAAGTTAACAAGAATTCGGAGATCTCAAACCTTCATAAAATATATGAGTTTTTGTAAATTTTTTTACACAGTACACTACAGTACAGAACAAAATAACACAGGTTTTTGTTTTTAACAGAAAGCTAATACAGTAGCATGGCCTGAATACATGGCCTAATACATGGCCTGAAATAGGTCAGGCTGTAATAGATATGGTCAACTCAGTACATGTAGCCTATTCCAGAGGGAGAACCTCATGAATCAAACCGGGTAGGCGCGCTGCCTCCACACGTGTTTTGCGTTAGGCAGATGGTCGTTTGTTGCTTAACCCGTACATCTGTTTTCCCTGGCTTGCAACAAAAGTTCTGCTGCAGTACCAAGGTCAGCCACCAGGAGGCCCATATTTGACCTTGACATTTGGCCTCCTAAGACCTACCAGCATACCAAATATCATCACAATCCATAAGTCGTTCTGAAGTTATGCTGACTACAAATGTGCGGAAACACACACACACACACACACACACACACAGACAAACGCGCCAAAAACAATACCTCCATGTTTCATGGGGGTAAAAAAAGACGGTATTACATGTAGATTTCACTTAAATATAGTCTCACCGTGCGATTGGACTTTCAGGGTCACGGAAGGGTTCCCATGCCACAGCGACTTGTGTAAGTGACTTCTGACACTTCACATCAAGGGTATCACATTCTGCGATTAAACAGTTAGTAGTAACATTACATCTTTACCCGTGCCTTACAACAGAACACATCGTACACAGTTAAGTCAATGAACGCGTTGGTTTAGTAAAGGTTAAAATATATATAGATGCATCATATTGTATAGCTTACAGACTTCATCACGCATATATTTGACCCTGTCTATAATGATAGGAATTGTCTCCTATTAAAATAAAATCTTAAGATAAAAACCTTGTTTTGACGTGCAAGTAATGACGCGTTCACCATCTTTGCTGGTTTCGTTCACTTTTTCATCTCGACTAAGTTCTATAACCCGGCCGGCTATTGGTGGAGAGGTGTCGACCACGATTGGTGCAGAATATGCCGCTTGGAAGTCCTCAACAGCGTTATAGCCAACAACAGTGACGTAATATGTTGCTTTGTGTGTAACGGTAATCCCTGAAAACGGTAAAGGCACAAACATGTTACCACCATCTCTTTTAATATTAAAACGTAATGCACAAATGGACGTTTTTAACTAATACGATTTTTAACAAAAAAACTTAGGAAGTAACATTTGCAAAGCAATTGCATAAAGTTCATTTTCGGACATGGTCTGCTCTGTTTATTCTTGCTCAAACACATTCACATACTTTTACTACTAGTATTTGGTGACAGGAGTGGAGCAGACGATGAAATTGCAACATTATGTTTGCCAGCATCAGTCACCATGGTGACAGACGTCAACAAATTATGTCATTGGTCAGGTCAGAGGTCACTGTTTGGAGAACAAAAAAAGAGGATGAAACGGAGCAAAAGCAATATGTTTTCCTTCGGCATACATAAAAAGTAATAACTTAAAAAAATGAGATGTTGACACATGCCGGTGTCTGTATCTGTATTTGTATCTGTATCTATATATAGCCGGTATAAGCGCCCTTCGGAGTAACACACCAGCTTATAGTCCATCAGATATGTACAGTTGCGATAGAAGAAGGGGGGAAGTTACAGCAGAGAAACGGAGACAGCAAAATGCACCCCTAACTACACTACACATGCACTGTGTGCTAAAGATTGTGCAAATTTAGGGCTGGACTGACAAGCCACCCCCTAAGGCACAAGCGAACTAGAATGAACTGCCGAAGAAGTAAGAAAACAAAGAAGCACGGCACGGTACTACCTGATGGACTGTAGTGCGTCTGATGACTGGGGATCTGTGTGAAGTTAAAGACGGAGTCATCTCCCTCAGCTGTCCCCACACCAAACATGTAGTACTGAATGTTGCTCTCCGTGTCGTAGAATCCCTGCCAGCGACAGGACAGCTCACTGACGTGTTGTACAAACTGGGGACAGAAAACCTCCCCGGCAACAGGAAGCGTCTCGTCAACAGTCAAGCTGCCGGAGACAGCCTGGCCCCACAGGCCAACCTGGGGAAAAGGGAGAGTTCACAAGTAATCACACGTCTATATTAGTTGAAACAAATAAAAACGTTTTGAAACAGCAAGCCATTTTTTTTTTTTACTGGACGTGTACGTGAGTACGTGAGTTACAATTAAATCGCCCTTTGACCTTTACTTATAATTGTACACAGTTGGAGCTACTAACTTAAAAAAACTACTAGTATTACATAAAGCAGCAAAGGACACCCTTTTTTTTACCGAAAAGTAATGTTTTTAATTGAAAGCATTGTTGCTGTTCCTGTATAGTAGGTAAACGCGCCTTACCACATTCATTGATGAAACGGTGAGGATATTTGGTGCGCCATGTCTCATTGGTTTCACCAGGGAGTTGGGCACCCACATGTCTGTAGTGTTTGTGACTGGATAGATGTCACAGGCACCGGGGTAACTACCATAGCAGAACCACGAGTAGGCCACGGCGTCCTTCGATTCGATGATATGCCTGGGAATTAAAAGCATGCATATGGAACGTAAGTGGTCAAACATTCGCCGGGAAGGAAGCTCTAGAAGGCCCATCACTACATAACGTTTGTGTCAAGAAGAACTAATACCATCTAGATGTCGTAGTAGGAATACTTTAGACAATCTTCGCCGTAGGAAGCTGATTGGCTCGTAGATGTACAGTCGCACCTATAATCTGACTGATAAAGAAAATGAATAGCACCATTAGGACCTCAGGACTCTTTTTTAGAATAAAAATGAGTCATCACAGCCTCCAACACTTAGTATATTGATAGAAAGTTCTGTGTCTGACCATAATTCGTCTATCGTAGTACACGATTAGGATATATTTGACAATAACAGTTTTCTATATATAGGCAAACAATGTAGTTCGAAATACATGTATGTATGATGCAATCAATCAAAGTCAGAGACATTTCACTTACCAGTTCGCACTTATAGAATCGGCTGACTTCTGGTAATGAGAACGTTCCCAGTCCAGTTGGAAGGAGTTGTTTCCGATCTGTACGCCGACGCTGTCTATCTGTATGACGGGCGGGGTGATGTCCACTGTGAACCCGTCTGTAGAGAAGTCCAGCACGTTCCCGGCACCCGTGACAGCCCGGACTGTGGCGTAGTACTGCACTCCGGGAGTTAGGGGCAGGAGGGACTGGGCATGGCCATGGCTACTGAGACCTGCGGAATCGATGGCAGACAACTCTATTTCTGTATATTTACAGGTCACTTCTTAATATAACTGACACTAAACTGTTACCTGTTCCAAATTGTTCTTGTTGTGAGGGCTAGCCCTTTATAATAGCCTCCGGCTAGTTGGGCAATATTTATACATTGCATGTCTTATACGGTCTAATAATCAAATCAAATCAAATCAATGTTCAGGATTAAGAGTTAATCCCGATACCATCTACAATATCATTACGCTTATTTACGGTTTAAACTGTTGTTAATCTTCTCCATACAGTGCTAAATTGTTGCAGGTACATGTATATAACAATTGTACGCTACAAACTGCACTTTAGAAATTGGATGGTTCTGAAAATTAACTATAGAGATACATGTAAACTAGAAGCTAAGAAAAGTTTTAAGAGCCTTAAACTAAAAATTTCCTAATTATCATCCGCAGTCCTCCGGTTGAGTGGTGAGCAGACCGCCGTCTGAAGTCGAAAGGTCCATAAAGTCTTATGCGACTGACGGTCGGGCCGCGGGCTGTGCGTTCTGGGAAGGTCGCGTCGGGTCCAGCAGCGGCCGGAGAACGTAAGTGACCGTATTATGAGCATACAGCGCCAGTATTTAAAAGACTAGGTGAAAGGTCATTTTGGCCAATGACGCATGATAAACATCAACAGTCTATCATGATAGTAGACCATTAGTAGCCACAGAAATAGAAAGATTTCGCCAATCTTCCATAAATCAGAAAAGCTTGTAACAGAAATACGCATCCTCCGGGATATTATTTTGTCCGGGATATTATTTTGTCAGTAGTTCATAGATAGGATAAACCAATAACAGAAACAAACCTCCTCCAGGGTTATCAGTATGGTCCGACAGCACAACCCCCGCTGCTGTGTACGGCTGTACATCGTCCAGTCTCGGCTCCGTCCCGACCGACCACTCGTAATGAACGATGCCGTGCTGCTCACTCTCAAACCCGCTGAACTGTGAGAATAAGTACGAATTGAAGAACTGTTCATTATCATCTTCATTATCTTCGTTACCGTCCAGCCCTACAGTGTGGGAGTATTGGCAGCCGTTGCGCTTTGTTAGTTAAAATTGTGACCCTGTACATAAAAACAAACGGAAAAAATGATAACCGAGAAAGGAACATAAAACATCTGATTTTATGTGTGCTAAAGACGGGACAAGTGCATTGGTGCGTAAGTAGTATTTACATAAGACATGATGGGGTGGCTCAATGCAGCAGGGGCCTCGCCAGAGACCCCGCCTCCGCTGCACCAGGCTCAAGTTCGTTCCATTCCCTGATAGTGCGGGGAAAGAACGAGAGCCTGTAAAAGTTGTTTCTGCTCGCGATGGCCTGCAATGTTTGAGTGTGATTGATGCGGCGGGAGCATCGAGCCACCGGGGCAATTCTGGTTGAGTGTGGTGCTATTCGGCAACAATGCACTAGTATTTCTAACTGAATTTTAGTTCCAAACATTTTAGAACACATACCGTAGGCGAACATCAGTTAAAAGGTTGCTCATCCAGGAATATATACTGGCTAGTATTAGAAACGTCTAATAAAACATTGTGTTAAACCAGTTGTACAGATTTACCAAGATCTATATACATTATGCGGTTTGTACCTGGACTGTGACAGTTGATGCCTCTCTCTGATAGTCGACATCCACAGTCACGGCCTGTTCTACAGTAGTCCACGTCTCCCAGCCGTCTGTCACTGTCCCCACCTGGTCTGCACGGACTACCTTTATAGGACTGTGTGTCAGAATGTATACAGTGTTTAACTCTTGTAATAAATTAATGGCTCAATGTTTGAATCATTCTGTAGCCATATCCTCAGACTTGTACGGAGTGTTGTAAACAGCCGTTTTTTCGTGTTCGCAGCTAGAACACGGAGTTCCCTTTGTGTAATCGGCATGCAACTTTATACGCCGTCCGCCGGCATGCCCGGCCGTGATGATGCACAAATGTGTATTTTTGCCTTTGCTGTTTTCGCGGTCAATGTAATATTTCAATGTGCATATTTCAAATGCACCCCTACAATTATGAGGCAAATTGGAATGGTCCAAAAACCCGTTGTTTGGAATAGAGGGGGTCGGTCATCCTTCAGGCAAATGAAAGGAGGGACCGATAAGTGGTACTATAGATGTTCGAAGCCAAAGGGCTTGATACAGTCTTTAACGTGCGCACATTTATTGGTGTAAACCCAGACCAGACGTTCTTGAATACGTTTACTTTAGACATTTGATCTTTTTGAATATTTACGTACCTCGACGTGATGTTCCGTGAAAAGCCTCCGGCAGCATTTTCAGCCTTTACCGTTAGATAGTAGACAGGTGAGTTGGTTGTTTTGTTAGTCAGTTGAAGATTAAGATTCCCGACGTAACCGTCCCTTTCAGAGCCGAGATTCCGGTAACCACTGATATCATCGGCACCTGAAAAGAATGTGTTTTATACCCCATCATGAGAACATTAGAACCATTAGAAGCTACTTATTATATGCATGCTGGACGAGGGTCACCCCCTCCATGAATTGGTTCCCCCGGCCAGGACAAAGGCCACTGGGAAGACTTCAGGAATGGAACTGCACTCACAGTACCAGCAGCCTGTACAAAAAGACTGAAAAACTCTTTCTTACACAAGGCAATATGCCTGTAAAACGAGTCTTCGCAGTAAGACTCTTAGAACTCTCTGGTCTTTACTTTAGTGCCCATGCGAGGCTTTTGGTAATGTTTGTGTTCGTGTGTTTGTATATGTATTGCAGTGCTATATTGTATTTGCTAGACAAGTAATTTTAAAAAAAATCACAGTTATCCAGCATGTTTTTGTACAGGCTGCGAGGATGTTTTTATGAATAAAATGTTATGAAAACTGTTATGTTTTGGTGCACAACTTGAGAAACATAGTCTTCCATGCTGTGTGTATGAAGTTTATTCATCCAGGAATATAATATTATATCCAGATGTTGATAAATCTATACAACTGGATTGATTTTACAACTTTACTTACTTACTTTACCACTTTTACCTCTATGGGGGCGTCGCGGGACTAGATTAATAGAATGACTGGATTGATACAAGGTTTTATTAGAAGTTTTCATGCGCACCATACAATGATCTTCATTAGTGAAAAAACGAAAAAAAAAAACGTTAACGTTAAAATAGTACCGAAATATACTTTTTCCATATTATTTAAACTTTTTTCTTCCACTGATAGATATTATTGGATGGTGATAGAAACGTCATATAAAACATTGTATGAACCCAGGAGTACAGATTTATCAAGATATATATTATATTCAAGTGTTACCTTCATACACGTACATAGCATGGCAGACTTTGTTTCTCTACATTATATCAATCTAGCTGACAGTGTACAGATTTACTATGATATGTATGAAGTCCAAAGATTAATAGACAATCTCACCTGATGTAGTCCCTACAGCCACCCAATACGACACCACCCCGCTCTCAGAGTCAGTAGCCAGCCAGGCCGCCTGTATGCCCTGTAGGTCTGTGTGGAGAACATAGCCGTCCTCCAGCTCCTCAGGCTCACCAGCTGTCACTCCGATCTTCACATTTATCATCTGAAAACAGGGATATAACAGTGGGTTGACGTCATTTACAATGTTAAAATTAGAGGTAATATATACATATAACTACAAATACATTTAGTCTCAGTCCATACCAAAGCCTCTTTGACGTTAAGTACGTCAGTTTCCTAGAATTGTTGTGAGGTTATAATGATTTGTATCTGTATCGGTATAACCAGTATAACAGGCCTTTGGCGTAACACACCAGCTTCGCAGCCACGCGACGCGGCGGCAGCTAGTTATGTTACACCTAACGAATTGTTACACACAATCTCGACACATTTTATTGCAGGAGTTCTTAAAGCATTCTGGTGCTGGAGTTTTACAATAAACAAAGGTACTTAAACGAAAACACACTCTTTAACAATGCAGCCAGTTCAGAACCTCGGTGGTAAAAATAACAATAAACAATGTGTGTGGGTGTACATACATCTGGCGGACTGGTGTCCACGATCACACCGTCGGTCTCGTGAACTGTCGCTGCCCCGGCTCCGTTGACCGCAGCGACACGTACAAAGTACTGCCCACCATCGACCAGATTCAGATGAGCGGGTGATGTCCATGTGTTAAGCCCACCATCAATTTCAACACTTTCTCCCCTGCTTATTTAACACATCATTCGAAGATCAATAATGCTTGAACAGTAAGTAGGTTAAAATTAATATTAATTTTTGGTAATTATACATCATAACTCAGTTAACGGTATAACCCTAACGCAAGTCTATATTTGCATTGTTGAATTGTGTCTTTTAAAAAATTAGGGCTCTGACAAACAACGTAACTACATGTCATCAATTAAGGATGAGAAATGAATATGCAGTAACGAAGAGACCAACCTTACGTTGGCAGATACTGCTTTTTGAATTATATGATTTTGATGTATCACAGCCATGGCCTCCTGAGCAACACAACAGGCCTCCCCAATCACGCTTAGGCTTGTGGCTTGTGTTTCTAAACATTTAAAAATGCACCAGCCGATTGTTTTGAGACACTGGGAGTGGACGAGGGGTATAGTCATGGTTGAAGACAGGTTGGGTGGTGGTTGGGAGTAGGTTGAGGCGTGGGCGTAACCAACATTTCATTAGATTCGTAAGGTAGGCGTGGCCTCAATTTGGCCAGACTGATCCCAACCTAGCGCCAACCTCGGTAGGTTGGTGGTGGTGGGGGGTTCTTAATGTGTGACAGGGGCTTGACCTTTTGCATCCATGCTTGACAATCCATCATTTCGCATCGGCGTAAAACAAACGTGAAAGTAAGACGATAAGAACAAAATTAATCATACTAACCTTTCAGGATAAATTTGCCTTTTTGCCCCAGCAGTTTTTCTGAACACAGTAACCACGTACGTATCAATACCAGACTCGGTGTCTTCAAATATCCAGTTGGCAGATATGCGTGATGAATCAGCCTAGAACAGAATTACGGAAAGGCACCGGAAAGAGTCCATGTTATATTTGTGAGCGTAATATAACATTCATTCATGTTGACTTTGACGTTGTCGTCTTGAAGAGTTTTACACACAACTGCAATTGCATTGAATTTCTAACTTATCAGTTTCCCTGGCAGCTGTTTTAAAAGTACGCTAATTTAGAGTGAATTACAATCATATTGACAATTGCAAACATCTCTCTATACCATGTTATGACTAGAAGATAACTAATTTGAAAGACTTATGAAATAAAGAGTAAGCTTTAACTTCCAACACTTAGATACAGAACTTTCATGCTAAGATAATCTGAAACACGTACCGAAAACGCCCTGTCCTCTCCTGGCTCCGCTCCATCTCCCAGGTGAACCATCACAGGCTTGGTCATGTCCATGATAAACCCATCAGATGACGTCACAGTGGAATCCATAGCCTGATTGGTCACCTCAAGTTGAACAGACACGTGATCTCCATGATGCAGATGGAACTTGTGCCAGTTGATATGTGTGACGTCAGGCCCTACTGATGTTTTCTCATGAATGATTTCAGAAGGATGTGTCCTGTTTCCTATAAGTTAAGGATAAATGTAGTTCATCTTCTATGCCCACCCAGTTTAGACATGTGATATCTGACAAATTTTCTTGGTAAACAACGCAGGGAAGTGTGTTTCTTACGGAATGAGTAACAATTGCAGATTTCAGCATTGTTTAAATATATATATTCGCCTGATATCCACCAGATCCAGATCAATAGGTACCCTTTTCCCGCGTAATAAGACCATCATGTAGTAAAACGTTAAACTTTATTCCAACACACAATTTACAGAGAGATCAAAATTTTCAGTGACCACTGACACTGTCGCCTTCATCAGGATAATAAATGACCAATCACTTCACACGTGATCTCGCGAGAGTTACGGTTTACAAACAAGTGACCTTCTTCACTCGAGACTTTACTGATACGTGACGTAAGCAATTGATCAAAAGTGCCAGGAGTTTATATCGCCCACCATCTCTAATTTAAGTGAAGTCTGATATATATGGCCCCCTCAATGCCTTAAAAATAGTCTTGTTCGGTGTCCAGTATTCTAACTTTGTCCAAAGAAAGGGTATGGCCCGGTGATTCTCTGTAAATTGTGTGTTGTAAGTTCAACATTTTACTACAATCAATGCCAATACAGATGAACTTAATGATAAGGCTATCGTATGGTTGGACAGTGTATAAGATCCGATGAGGTATAGTGTGCGTTTCAGAGTAAGAAAACCTGTTCATCATAGTATTAAAGCTGTTATATAGTATTTGATCACGATAGGTGCAGGTACAATCTTAGATTAAAAAAAAAATCGCGAACAATCATAATACTCTATTGTGACAAGTTTTTAAATACTCCATTTTATGTCATCACCTTCTGAGGAAGATGTTCTCTGCACCGTCACGGCATAGTCTCCTATCCCTGACTCCGGATCTCTGTAGCCGTCCCAGTTGGCGGACACGGTGGAAGGTTCGGACGAGAACTCCAGGTCTGAGTCCGGCTCCAAACCGTCTCGTAATGTGCCTTCCACGGGTGGCGTGGCGTCAAACAGGACTTTTAAAAGGATTAAACAATAAATGGTTTTTAAAAGATTAGATTAGCTGGTTGGATGGCGTGATTGCGATGAGGATGTTTGAGTCAAATATTCGTCACCTTAACGACTTGAATTGGAATAATACCAATAAGACTGGACTGCACAGTTGTAATGTATCTTTAAGTTTCTAACGGAAAGTACATATTTAAAAATTAGTTTATTAGTGGTTACTTGCGGTAAATTGTGTCAGTTCCTGTTTCATTCGACCATTCTATCTCTTCTGAAATCTGCTTGTTTTTGGTTCGTGTGGTAAAGTATCCTGTAATCAACCATAGAACGGACATGATACTCAAAACAACAAACAAACAAACAAACAAACAACGGTATTCGTATTAATAAACGTACCAGTGGTCGAATGTTAAAATGTGTGGAATGATGTATGGTTACAGTCTACTAATATGCAAATAAATGATTTGAAACATATACCTCCATCTGACGACCTTGAGATGTTTAAGTGGTCATGTCCGTTGTTGACTGCCGCCAGTACGGAGTAGTACGTGGTGTTGTGGACCAGTTGTACGTCTGCGCATGCCTGAGACGCCGTGTGAGGGTACTCCGTCAGAGGGACCATGTCGTCTGTTCCAGGTACCGTACCCACTCCCCACAGGTAATGACCTGGGTATTCATTAACAAATATCACAGGTATTCACACACGCACATGTGTACAAATATCACATGTATTCACAAACGAACATGTGTTTTGCCATTCTTGTAATAATGGTCTACATCGAGCACTTTTCTCTCACTGATTTACTATGAAACCAAATCAAAGTAAATGATATACTTTGAGTAACCAAAGCTCGACCAAAGTTAAGGAAGTACTATCAAACCAATCCTTATCATATTGCACTTGTCAACATGTAGTTCATCCAGCATTGTTTATTCTCTCATTTACTTTAGGTATTACTTCAAAACCAACCAACCAACCAATCAAGCAACCAACCAAGCAACCAAGCAACCAACCAAGCAAGCAAGCAACCAACCAACCAACCAACCAACCAACCAACCAACTAACCAACCAACCAACCAAACAAACAAACAAACAAACAAACAAACAAACAAAACAAACTAATAAAGAAGAGAAATACTAATGTGATCATTTAGAATGAAGTAGCCTCACTATTTGTCGGCTGAATGGATTCCTAAACCGAAACTTGAGGCAGTTCTCTTCAAAACCAGGAGGCGTTTCAAGTGGGAATTGATGAATACTACCAAAATCAGTTCAATAGCAGCTCATAATTCTCTGTCACCATGGAAACCACCGACAATGTTATGTGCATGCATGTATAAATCAACATTCGGTGATCCGAATGTCCTGTGAATTGTTTGCCATTGATCTTCTATTTGCCCGAACAGTGGCAGTTGGAGGTATGATGAAAAAGAAATTTTAGCCAAGCTAATGTAAACTATAGCTTACTCAGACCACTCTCCTCGTCATGGAAGTCCTTCCAGTTTGCACATATCGTGTTGGGGTCAGAGGTGAAGTTCAGGTCATGTCCGTGAATGCTGCCGTCATACAGGAGCCCGGCAATGGGTGGTGACGTATCAACCAGCACGGGTCGGTCTGCATGGCCGGTCTCTCTCAGATCAACTGTCAACAATACGTTAGATTGATTTTAAATTTACTGTATGTAGTTATGGTTCATGTCATCTGTTAGCTATCAATATGAATACATTATAACAATTTTCCATTAATTATGTAAATCAGGCCTTCATTTACATTATCTATATCCTCAGATGTTCTTCTCGTTCTGAATTACATGACACAAGTGTTTCATAGTCCTATTATCGAAGCAGCTTTAAAGGATTTCCTAATTAAATATGCAAATTAGCTCCTGATTTGCATAATTGTAATCGGATTATGTTAAGCATCACTTCAGCTACCCACATACCAAAAATCACGAGTTCGTAAGTTATCCTTCTTCGAAGATTTGCCAACAAATCGCTCCTGCAGTTTCAGAATAAGCTGCTAGGGGACCCAAACTTATTTCTTACCTACCCCAAGAGCTATCTACCAAGCAAAATTCGTGACCCTAGCATGTTCAGATCGCGAGATATCAAAATCGAAAGTTCTACTGCAGTACCAACAAAAGTCGCCAGGGGGCCAAAAAAATCTAATCATTTCTATGTCTCATCAAGACCTACTTACCTACCAAGTTTCATAACAATGCATATTGAGCTTATATATATATATATATATATATATATATATATATATATATATATATATATATATATATATATATATATATAT